TAGCGCCTATAGCGCCGACTTACCTTCGCAGGTGAACTGTCCATAGTGCTTGCCGGAGCTCTTGTCCCCGCACACCACACACTCGATGTTCTGCTTGCAGTCCATATTTTGTTTGGAGTCGCTGTTGCTACTCTGCGAATGCAGGCTATTCGCCTGAGAACTAGGCGTTGTACTGCCACCGCCGCCGCCGCCGCCACCACCTCCTCCACCGCCCGCCGCACTGCCGCCGCCCAAGCAATTAGACGCCGCTTGTTGGCCTTTGATCATGACGCCGAGCTCCTGTCCGTGATTCTGTTGCGCCGCCGCCGCTGCATGATGTGCTGCCGCCGCGTGGTGTGCCGCCGCGCTAGCTGCCGCCGAGGCAGCTGTCAGACTGGAGAGATCCTCTTTGATTGTATGATGTCCGCTTTGGTTGAGTGTGTTCGATTGGCCCCCCGCGCCACCGAGCCCGGAAAGGTCCTGCTTGATGCCCGCCGACTGTTGGCTGGCGACGCTGGATGGTGTTGTGCCGCCGCCGGTACCCACGGAGCTGCCACCCGCGCCGGGCAACGAGCCGGGACCAGCGGAGGCGTGCAGATGTCCACCGAGATTAGGATCGTGCCATGCGGAGGGTGGCGGTACGCCCAATGCCATTGAGCGCGGCAGGCCGAGATCGAAGGCGGACAGCTCGGCGCTGGACTGCGGGCGTGGATTGAAGAAGCCGGGAGCGGTGGACGGTGAGGCGCACATGACGCCGCCACCGTACACGCTCAAAGAATTGTGGGTGATAATTTTGGCGGCTTGCGGGGCGTAAGAAGGAAATGAAGTATGCACTTTGCTGGTATGCCGTCGACACAAAGCGGTACGAGACCGTAGCTAGTTGTGTGTATTTTTGTACGTGGCGTAGCGGCTGTTTGCGCGTTTGATTACCACCTTTCGTTGCTATAATTATGTTTTTCTTTTCTTCGGCTGCGATGTTGCACAAGAAGTGATCGCAGCACTCAAAAGTTCTAAATCTTTTTTTTTTTTGTGCAAAAATTCTTTGTATTTTCTCATCAACCAGTACTCATTTTTTGTATTATAAATTTCGTATCAAAACACTGCTGGTATGCAATATTTCTCACTTTATCATAATTTCTGATCGAGCGAAAATTTCTTGCACACACGTTTGGTTGGCGATCGCGTTGCCGCGCTAAAAAATATACGAAATATACTTATTTAAATTCAAAATTAATTAACACTGGTAAATTTTAATCGCACTCCGCGCGTATTTCGCTAAATTCATTTAATTTATTATTTTTATTATCGAACACTCTTTCGTCAATAATTCATATATGTTCGGGCGTTGCAACCGAGAACTTTCAAACGATTTGCACACACTTTGTAAAATTTCAGTGATTTTTCTCCTTGGCATATCTACGCAAGCAGTAATAAAAAATAACTTCAGATGTTCGGAAAAATGCCCGTCATGCGACCAACAAAATCTCAGCTGTTTTCGTAAGGCCTTTTAGAGCCTGACTGGCAAAACATTCGTGGCAAAAGGTACACGACCCGACCCGACTCGACCGTTTCGACCTAACGACACATCACACAAATCTCTCATTCCACCACTCAAAGCAGCCAGATTGCCACTACGAACTCAGTGCACACAGCTCACACAGACGCCGAACATAGAGCGCACACAAGCAAGCGAACGTTTACGCTCGCAGCAGTGCTGCCAGCCGCAGTCAGCCACCCTGAAATCTAAATCGTCCATTCAATCGCCTGGGCAGCTCGCACGCTTGTCACCAGATGGCGTGCGCATTTGAGTGGAAGTGGCTTGCCGACTCGCTCGCACCCGTTCGCTAGGCCTGGGCGG